TTAGAAAGAAAAAATAACGAGACGAACAGTCGGGACAATTCTACGAACCGAAAAATCGTGCGCACACACGAAATAGCGGCCTTAAATAATAATTTTTCAGCGTCGTACTCGTGATCTCCCGAGACTCTTGTACCCGTAATCGTAGATTAGTCGTTCTGGAATGAAAGATTGGCTTTTCTTCGCCGATTTCATCCAGGAACGTGTTCCTCGCACGCTCATTCCCTATTGGGACTCTTTCGATCCGTTATTCGTTGCGAATTTTTTAAGAAAATGGGCAAATCATAGCAATCGAGGCCCTAACAGAATCAATAACAATAGTGTTTAGGATAATTTTAAATTGTGTTATATTTATTTATAATTTATTTTATTCGTTTGAGTGAGATTTTTTAAAGAAGGAATAAAGCTCCAGCACTAAAAATGCAGCTCCATACCATCAAGCTTCATCGTGTTTCATCGTCGGTCTCATATTACTTATTTTTAATTGTTCATTCGATTTACGTCACACTAATTTTTGTCTGTTACAACCAGTAACATATATCATGACTATATCCGTCATGCGTAAAATTTTGTTACAATTTGATATTTAAATTGTACTTTTGGCGAGAACTAAATTATATTCGTAAATTGTAATGTGTTTAAAATGTTTAGAGGTCAACACGGAATGAAATAAACAAATAAAAAGTGTAAATGATTTGAGATGGATTCATAAATTCTTGAGAGCTAACTCGTCATCGCTTGATTATCGCGACACACACTGGTGCGCGCTTTGCAAAAAGATCGCCACAGTTAACTGGTTAAACACTAATATCTTGTACACTCTACTGCACAACCGATTTAGTATAACAAAGCTTGTATTCCACGAAATGTTCACTCTCAACAAAAATGGCTATTTTCAAGTATGAACCCGTATATTTATTTTCACAATCGATGAATCTAGATCGAAAGAGTCCAAACCACGTCCGTGATAAGTCTAAAACCGCATTTCTCAGTGGACTTTAAAATTAGATTAGTGAAATCGTCATCCATGATGACCGATTTTCGTGCCGAGAGACGAAGAAAAAAAGGATATAATTCAAATGAAATTCCGATTGCTGCGACATTACGATTATACGTATGATAACAAATTCGTGTACACCGGCGAGCATGGTAGGCTTCCTTACAGCTCTTCGCTATTTGTTGATTTTTGATTAGTGAATTTTTGAAATTTCGAATTTGGGAAGATAAGGAGCGGAAATTTAAGGACTGTGATTTCAGGAAACGGGTGAAAGATTTAAAAATTATAATTTCAAACTGTTCTTGAGAGCTAACTCGTCATCTCTTGATTGTCGCGACACACACTGGTGCGCGCTTTGCAAAAAGATCGCCACAGTTAACTAGTTAAACACTAATATCTTGTACACTCTACTGCACAACCGATTTAGTATAACAAAGCTTGTATTCCACGAAATGTTCACTCTCAACAAAAATGGCTATTTTCAAGTATGAACCCGTATATTTATTTTCACAATCGATGAATCTAGATCGAAAGAGTCCAAACCACGTCCGTGATAAGTCTAAAACCGCATTTCTCAGTGGACTTTAAAATTAGATTAGTGAAATCGTCATCCATGATGACCGATTTTCGTGCCGAGAGACGAAGAAAAAAAGGATATAATTCAAATGAAATTCCGATTGCTGCGACATTACGATTATACGTATGATAACAAATTCGTGTACACCGGCGAGCATGGTAGGCTTCCTTACAGCTCTTCGCTATTTGTTGATTTTTGATTAGTGAATTTTTGAAATTTCGAATTTGGGAAGATAAGGAGCGGAAATTTAAGGACTGTGATTTCAGGAAACGGGTGAAAGATTTAAAAATTTGGACATAGTTTCGGTAATTTTTAAATGTGAAGCAATCTGAGAAACTCATCTTTCTTCAAATTCTTTTTATCTTTAGTATTCTTCGAATACTTCATGTTTGATTCAAAAAGATGATGTCAACATTCAAACATTTGAAAATTTGACGAAATTTGACGGAAATATAAAAAGGTGGAAATTAGAGGATACACAGATGTTCGAAATATGGTAATTTAGAAACTACTACAATTAGAAGTATAAAACCGAAAAACTTTGCAATTTTATAATTTCGAAAACTTGCAAGATTTATAAATCCAAAAATTCGAAAGTTTACAAATCATAAGTACTTGCAAACAAAAAAATCCAAAGGTCCAAAACTTTTGCAGGTTTAAAAACTCGTAAAATTGAAAATTTGAAAATTCTCTAGAATCGAAATAAAATAGTGAGGTGCTCGTTTATCTTCGTTCTTATAAAAAGGAGGCCTACGTTGCACCCTAATATACAAACGGTATAACGAAATACTCTGTTTGCATGTATACTCGTGCGTGTACTCATCTATGTGCATACCGATGTCAACCCACGAGTTGGCGGGCAGACCCAGGTAATTAGAAGAACTGCCAATTGATCAGCAAAATGGATGATTCGTATTTTCGGCGATATATTGGCTCGAGCAGACCTATTAGGCCAAAAACAATGACGGTCAAACGTCTCGAAAGTGAAATGCTACTTGCGTTCAGCAGTTGTTGTCATTATTCTTATTTGCCTGTCTGTAACGCTGGAAGTGTTAGAGCTTGGAGGTAGAGCTTCTTTCACTTTGGGTTAAGGAGAGTGTCCCGCGGCGGCCATCTTGCTTGTATCAGCGTCTGTCTCACTCATGCACCTTCGAAAATTCGACTTTATTCAGTATAGAGTATTTATTACTGCCTAAAGCGACCAGAGCACCCTGTAGTGAAGTGCACTGATGGGTGCTGTAGTCGTAAAAACTTCATTTTCGCAATATTCGAGCGTTAAAGTCGAATCTTCGTCTCTCTCACACCAATACGATGTACGAAGGAGACAAGGCGATTTTGTAGATTCAACTTTGACGCTCGAATATTGCGAAAATGAAGTTTTTACGAGTACAGCACCCATCAGTGGACTTCACGACAGGGTGCTCTGGTTGCTTTAGACAGTAATAAATACTCTATACTGAATAAAGTCGAATTTTTGAAGGTGCATGAGTGAGACAGACGCTGATGTAAAGCAAGATGGCCGCCGCGGGCGCCAACTCGTGGATTGACATCTGTAACAGCGGTGAAATTTGTTGATTATCATCGAGAACTCGAAGTTGTGTCGAGTTTCGCGCTTCTACGTCTTCACCATCGAGGATAATTAGCGGCCAACAGGAAACCCTAGGATTAGTGTTAGACCAGCAAATAAATTTAGCGAAAGAAACCTCGCCAACCGGAAACCTTTTTCGAACGCCTCGAGAGGCCGTGTATTTGTGTCAGCGTACGTTCTTTTTTTCATGGGAACGTTAACATTATTGTATTATAAAAAAAACGATAAATTAATGGGAATGGAGTCGATTCGAGTATGAAACCGAGAATAATAACGATGTTCGCGAATTCCGTGAAGATATCACGGGTTTAATGGAGAACGAAGAATGATCGTTGACCAATCATTTCGCGGAATGTGCGAACGATGGCTTTTAAGGAACATATGTGGCACATGATTGTATGTTGTTTCAAATAAAACATTGTTGTTTTGTATACTACAGCTGGTGGTTTTTATTTTTTTTAATATAAGGAAGAATATTTAGGATGTTCTATGCTCAAGCAGTAGGTGTAGAATGTAGAAAACAACCCTTTATATTTGCACATTTTTGTATGTCATTGTCAAATGTTGAAATTTGTAGGTTTGTGATTTTTTGAGGATTCAAGTGAAATTTTGAAATTCCTACATTTCCAATTATTCGAGTTTCGAATCTTTTAAAACGCAATTTTCCAAAATTAGTGTGTTTTCAAATCGTGGTTTTCAAATTTTCAAGTTAACTTATTTACAAATTTACAAATTCGCTAATTCACAAATTCACTAATTTACAATATCACAAATTTACAGATTCATTAATGCACTAATTCACAAGTTTATAAGTTCCCACATTTCGTAAATTTTCAAGGTACTAAGCTTATAATTTTCAATCATTCAAGTAATAAAATTTTTGAATTTTTACATATCTGGATTTTCAATTTTCAATTTTCTTCAAATTGTCCAATTTGCATATTTTCAAATTCTCATGTTTTTCAATCTCCCAAACTCTCAAACTTTTAAATCTTCAAATCGTATCTAGATGTGCAAATTTCCAAATTTAAAAATCCTCAAATTTTACAAAATTCTTACATTTTCGATAGACTGAAATATTCAAACGTTCATTACTACGCTTCTAAAAATTTCGCATGATATTTCTAAGTTACTTATAATAAGAATACTTCTAATGAACATTATTTTCACTTAAAATTCTCTGGCTTCGTCTAAACCTTTTTATTTTCATCCAAAAGCCCCTATTTTCATCTAAACATTTCTATCCACATCTAAAAGTCCCTGTTTTCAGAATTGCGTCTAATTAACAGCAAAGTCGTTTCCGTCGCTATCGACCATCGGTAAATAAACACAAAAACTACTCCAAAAAAATTTGTTCAATTTTCAAAACCTCCATCTATCAAAAACACTTTTTACCTCCGAACTATCCCCTAACAAAATTCAACCTCATCCAAAGAAGAGAAGTTTCATTGACATTTTACGTTTCGTTGATAAAACAGGTAATATCAAAACAAAAATTTTCTTCGTTTCTCGAAAAATCCTTCTCGCGAACATTATTTTTATGCAAAATGAATCTTTCTGCAAAATCTCAGATCGCCAAGAATAAATTTGAAAAAGTGCATCCTCGCAAGTAAAATATCTATAAACGAATTGAAACGGATTGATCTTTATATCGAAACACTTGATTCTACGAACGAGCGATTACGACAAAGGTCATTCGATCGGAATTCGAAAGAAAATTAAACGCGGATTGTGTTCTAATGGTATCAGTGAAATTCTTGACCCTTCCCCTGGAGATTCAGGGGGTAATAAGAGGGACCGAACGAATATCGTGCTTTCAGTCTGCACACAGCGTGCAATAACGTATATCGGCACGTTCTTTAACGTGCTTTGTATTTTTATCGTAATTCGAGTATTCGATCGACGGATTTAACGTAGAACTAGAAAATCGAATATTTCACTGAAAACATGCGTTTATCGAAAATAAATGATAGAGACAGTGTATGAGATCATTCAAAATGGATAAATTTGTGTTTCTGGTGCTTTGTTGTTTTGTGGGATTTTTACGTTGCTGTGATGCTAAAGCGGTTATAAGGTAACTTACCGGTGATTTTCTCCATTTTCGAGTTTAATTTCGTGGATGAGTACAAGATTTTCTATAATATTTTAGACCTACATTTTGCGAGGGTGCAAATATTGATAATATTTTTGTTAATAGTTTATTAAATATGGTTAGTGTTATTCAAATATTTGCATTGAATTTTACAATAATTTTTGTAGCATTTAAAAATACTATATTATAATATTATTAGATTTTGAAATGTTGTGCAAGAATTTTATTGCTAGATCAAATATCTTATTAATATTAATATTAGAAAAATAATTTTTTGGACGCTTTAATGACTGAACTCTCGTTTCTTTATTTATAAACGCAGATAATATACAAATGCATCATGCTATAATTACAGAGAACCTGTTTAATATAAGAAGAGGTCTAAAATCTGATTAGCTATGAATTAGTTGAAGTATACTGTATCAACAAACATTATGATTAATAAAGCTTTGTTGTTCGTTCTTGTACTGCAGACACTCGCGGCCGCCATTACTATATACACCATTAATACATACGTTTAACTAACCGTTTTAAAATTACAATTTTGTGAGCTTCTGTTGTAGCATTTTTCGTACGTTATGAAAGTAACAATAATTTTGTTACCGAATGTCTCCCTACATAGATTAGGATTAAGTAATAATCAATGATTAGGAATACACGAATATTACTAGCAAAGATGGCATTATCAAGGATTTAGTTAATTTGTAAAATTTCCAAAATCCATGAAACTTTTATCTGCAAGCAGTCGTCAAAGATGAATATATATTTTTTGAATCTTTGAATGTATTTCTATTCAAACAAAAATTAATCCTTTTCGATATCATCTCTTTAGTAAAAATTTATATTTCGTGATTATTCGAACCATGTTTAACTCTGTATCTTCTTAAATATAAAACTTTTAGTTACCTTTACATTTTGCAAATTTTAATTTTTACAGTTTTACGTAAAATTTAATGCATTTAGTTGTCGCTACCAATAAAACTACTAGAGGAACATAATTTGATACGTGACAATATTATTCATTTCTATTAATCGCAATTCATTATAATAATTATATTATAAGTAACTAATTGTAGCAATAAAAGTATGGAAAAAAAATAGAATCGTAAAAATAGGGTAAATAGTAACAGTTAAAATCACAAATGCATAACAGTGGCCACCAAAGTGCTAAATAAAAGTTTATTTACCACCAAATAAATTTCAAGAATTAAAAAATGGGTAAATTGTTTCAAAATTGGACATTTAATTCTGCATTATTTTCAGGGGATACCTGTTTACAGCACCCAAACAACTTCCAGCAGGTGAAACTGTGAGCGGATGTTTGTCACTGCATAAATTAGAGCCTCCGGCTCATATTCTTCTCGAGCTAGTGAAAGAAGATGAAGTATTGTCGAGAACTAACACCGTATTAACATCAGGTAAATAGATATATATGTTACCGTGAAAGACCGAAATTGGAGAATGTCGACTTTCATCGGTGAATGTCAACACATACCAAATAAGTCGGTGAAAGAACTCTGTCATGAGTCGTCATGACACAAAATTCTGCCACATCTCCATGACGGATATAGTCGTCAAACACACTTAACTGGTTAAGGATTATTAAAACCAAAGAAAGCTCGAGTTACTTGATTTTCAGTTAATTTGTTATCTCTCTTTCCCGACATAATATTTCATTTTTCAGTCTCATATTTGTTCTTCCTTATTTTGCTAGTCAATCAATCGACATAAATCGAGTGCATTCAAGTATATTTTTGTTATCACAAGCGATAAATATGCATACATGTATTTGTATCTATATAATTACCCGGAAGATTTTATATAACTCGTAGGTCTATAGATAGACATGTTTATATTGTCTTGTCCACATTTGTAATTTCTGATATTGAAGAGTAAATTATTGATGGTCTACGATATTTAAATTGAAACTTATTGTTAACTCTAAAATATCATATATAGTATTAATGATGCATTAATAATTAATTTTTGCAAAACAGTTAATAATATTGAATTATAGTTACTTTAACATTTAAGACCTGTCTTATTACCATTTCTTATTCATTTTAATTTTGCAAAAGTATGACCATTTTTCTAATTTCATATTTATTATATTAATAACAAATATTTTTATATTTATACATATACAAGTTGCAATGCAATTTTTTATTTTTTGTTCACCTATTTACTAGAATGACTACTTTCAGGCTTCAAAGGATTTCTCTTTCTTTCATTTCATTTTGAAAATTAAACACAGATTGATTAACGATTGCATAAAAAAATAATTGAACATCTTTTCACTCAATTAATGTTTCTCCTGGGTTGATTAAATTTTAAAACTCATCTTCCCGCGCTTTTTGTTTGTTTCGATCATTTCCCGCCTGTCAGCCATTTTTGTCACGCGACAGGCGCTTTAAACAAATCGTAAATTGAAATTGTAGTCGCTTCCTGCGGGGACACTGAATTGGTCAACTCCCTCTCTGCAGAGGAAATAAGCAATTGCTGGAATACATGGGAAACCCATTTATATTGTTATGTATGGGGTTAGCAATGAAAATTGACCGTTTAGCTTGATCAAACTTCAACTGATATATCGCCAAGAAATCTCAAGACGATGATATGCATCTATCTATTATGCTAGCTTAATAATAATAATACATTTTTTAGTACAAGTTATTTAAAGTCAAATTTCACAATGCAATTGAATCTTCCAAATTAAATAATATATTATTAAATTAAATAATATCATTATTAAATTAAATTAATATGTCATTATAAGAATATAAAATAAAATTGAATTATAAGTAAAATTTTGTAAAATACAAAAAATGTTGTTATGATCGAAACCGTGTTTAATTATAATCAGAGATTATCCAATAAATCGCATAATAAATGTAGTACATTATATCTGTTAACTGACATTTCGTATAACAAACAAATAAAATCCATTCATCGCAAAAAAATGTACTCGCAACCGCTGTAGGTTGTGAACCCTTAATAATCAACTTTGAATGACATCGCCATTATCGTATCAGCGCTCAACATCAAAGCAACCATCGCCCCTTTGCAATTTATTGATGTAACTACATTCGCGCAAAAGGATGCCCTTAATCGATAAATTGCTACTAAGAACGCTATTCTAAACACGCGTCGATTTATCTAATTGCTGTTCTTGCAATTGCATACACATTCGCTAATCACAATGATATTTGTATTTGGTACCGCTTGCACGAAAGTTGTTTCGATGCAACGTGAGTTTAGTGACCCGTGTAACTTTTGAAAAATTTTTAAGAAACTGAAAAATTTATGTACACTACCGTCCATAAGTATCCGGACACAAGCGAAATATGCATTCGCGTCGCATGAAAGTTATTCAAGTATCTGCAACAGTAACTAAAATCAATTTTTTTTCTGCGGAGGTCAGAATACTGGAACGTTTTTCGATTGATAATTCTCGTTTGGAACTCATATCTCGATGGAAAAGAAGCTACAGACGAACTAAACCGAAACTGTCGAGTGCGTAGCGTTACCTCCATTCTTATCTCCATTGAGGAAACCTAAACATCTACCAACAGTTTACAAACACTTGAAACATATCGAAGAACCCTCTGAATACGTTCTGCACCATAGAAATGAAACGCAGTAGAAATGAAAATTTTTTTTAGAATCGAAAGCGTTTCATTAGATTCACAAATTTGGACTTTGTACTTCTGGACATGAATTTTACTTTCACACTTTCATTGTATAATTTGTACTTAAAAATTAATTCTATTACGTTATGACACCTCAAAAAAGATAATAATAATTATTACAAATGATATGATAACCCTAAATACCTTTCGTACAAAGTTTAACTATGTTTTATGTAACGAAACCAAGTGTCCGGATACTTATGGACGGTAGTGTATATATTTCTTTCATTATGTTGATGAAAGCATCGAACACTTCTCGAGAGCAGAATATATTAAATAATGCTAAGTTACTATAAATACTCTGGCAGATTATAAATATAAACTCTGAATAAATTGTGATATTTTATAGCGCGGTATAAAGTCGAATAGTTGCAAACGTAACAAACTAATATTAATTACTCGTTCCAATATGAGCTCCAATGTTTTGCAATTTTGACAAAACCTGAGTAAACGTTCGAAGAAATCGTTCGATGTCATTTTGTAGAAATGTGAAATTTATAAATAAAAATTTAATCCGTTAATCCTACAAGGATTTTGATCACACCTCCAAAAGTACTAATTCATATATTTGTTTCTGTATAATATAGTGAATTGTTTATAATTCAATTAGCATGCATCTCAATTTTTACAAGATAATTTATGAGATCATTTTCAATTTTCTTTTTTTTATTTCCAATCGTAATGAATCCATGATAAAAATGTTATCAGGAAATTTTGCTGATGTTACTAGTATTTTTGAACAGGTATAGAAACATGTCTGGAGCTCCCAGTACCGATGGTGAGATACCGAAGCGCGTTACTTCGACTTACGATCAAATTCGACAAGTATCCCCATTACAAAGTGAACGCGGAAGAATATGTGGAAATCGTGTGGAATTCTCTTCTCGCATTCGTGGAAACTGATAAACGTGTTTATAAGTCTGGACAAGACGTTAATATCAGAATCCTGATGTTGAAAAATGATTTGAAGCCTTGGAAGAAACCGGTAAGATGCTCTCTGTTTCTTTTTGGAATTGGAACTGTCGCACACTTGACATGTAATTAAGACATACGTAATGCCACAGATGAAGCATTTAATCTGTCGTTCGTAGATTTCGAAAGTGTGGATTGAAAATCCGTCGGGGATCAGAGTAGTGCAATGGTCGAATGTGAGCACCGAGAACGGGATGGCACAGTTGAAATTTCCTTTGTCGATGGAACCGAGTTTGGTAAAATTCAAATTTTATTATTATGTAATAAAAGGTGGGAACATGTAGTTGACAACTTGGTGGCATGCTTATATTAACACTAGATTGCCTAAGGCAGTCATTTTGACTGCTTTTCAATTTCAATTAGAAAAACAATTGTGTATAGAATGACACAGCTTCTTAGAATTTTGTGACTTTTTGTACAACATATAAATGCGTTTATTAATAATTGTAGTTACCTCCCCCCTCCTTCATTTCCGGTATATATATGTATATATGTGTTATACCTATATTGCCCCAAAGCAGTCAAAATGATCCAAGTTTCAGTCTTTCTAGTGTTAATTAATTATTAACACTAAAACTACCAAACGCTCCACAAGTTTCTTGAAATCAGCATTGAGTTTCATCAAGATAATTCACGAACTTCTAATATTTACATAAGAATTGTTTGTAACAGGGAACGTGGTCGATTGTTGTGGACAAATACGCAGATTTCGAGATCTATGAAAGAACGCAGTTCGAAGTGAACAAGTACGTTTTACCAAGATTCCAGATAGCAGTAACTTCACCGAGCTATGTACTTGCAGATACAGAGAACGTCACGTGGAATATCTGTGTCAGGTACCATTACTGCATTATTATTATAATATTTTTCAAACATTACAAATTTCAAGATTAACTCGTTATCAAAGGAAAATTTATATATTGTATTAAAATTACGTTACATCCTCGAGTCTGTAAATAAATGTAATTTCTTCGCGATGACGGTAGGGACGCTACCTAATTGAAAACTGAAATATAAAATAAAAAGTTTAGTAATTCATATTAAATATTTCGATATAAATAGATATTCATGTTAAATATTGTATCACAATTTAATAATTCCTACTAACATTGTATTGTTAAGGAATGAAAACGTCAAAAAGTTTCAATAATTAAAATTGAAGAAAATGGTGGACCTAAGAGGTTCCATCGCGATTCAAAGAGTAAATCGTAACTTTTACATAATTGATTTAACTAACGATTAACATTACAGGTATAGTTACGGTAAACCCGTAAAAGGTACTTTGTTATTGAAATTAACTCCGCACACTCCTAGTTGGAGAAGAAAACCTAACCTCACACCAATTCGCTACGAAACAGAAGCAAGTATTACTTCTCTATCATAAGATGAGACTTAAGAAAGTACTATAACAAATGCGACTACTAAATTATTTACATCACTCATTCACACTTAGTTTGATAAACAAGAAAAGTAGTTTTCCTTGACGCAAAACTTACCCCTTTTTGAAGCTCCACGATTTCATCATGTTTCCTTTTTCCTATTTATTGTTAAAAAAGTATGAATTATCCATTCAGATGGATTCACCAGACGGATGCACCGAATTTACACTTTCTGGGACAGTTCTCAACTTGGCACGTTGGAACGTAGCTCCGAATAATATTGTTCTACTCGTAAATTTCACCGAAGCAGGGACAGGAGTGAAAAAAACTACCATTAGTCGGTCCGTGGTTAAGCACAAGGCTTTGAAGATAGAATTCACGCAGTACATGCCGAAATACTTCAAACTGGACCTGCCTTATCATGGAAAGGTAAACTTTTTGTTTGTCATCGAATCGAAAAGTTAGGTTGTTTTCGTTAAATTAAGGTGAAGTGGGGTAAGTTCGTAAACGTGGCAAGTATGCAGGCTATTTTTATTACAATATCAACGAAATTTCTTCATTTAGTATGTTGTTTCCTTGTTTTGTTTCACTATATCCCCTTTTATATTTCAGCTAAGAGTACTTGTTTGCAGTATAGAGTACTTGCA